CTCCCCAGTCTGATAGCTGGAATACCAGCATGGGACTGATCCAGACCCCAGGAACATGGGTTTCTGTGAGGAAACCTCAGAAATCTACGGGACCTCCTGTAGAAGTCCAATATTTATCCCTAGCATAGGTGTGGACTTCAGAAGCCCATTCCATATAAAGGAATACTCCCTGAGCCAAGACACAAGGGAGGGTGGGGATGGGGGGTGGGGTGTGGGGTGTGTGTGTGCCTAGGCCCTATCCCAAAGGATACAATATACACTGATGACACCCTATGGAAGGTCTCACCATCCAGGGGAAGCAGAAAGGATATGTGACAGGTAAGGTTTTAGTTGGAGGGGGGATGGTAGGGGAGGATGGGTGGGAGAAGGGAACCGAGATTGTCATGTAAAACAATCCTGTTTCTAATTCAAATAAAAAAAGTTGGAAAAAAAAAAAGAACATTTGCAAGCAAAGTGGAGCAGACAGATAGGTAATCTACAAGACACATCACAGCTCCCAGTGCCACTAAGCCAAATGAGGTGTTGGAGAGGCAGTAAAGATGAAGGATGGGTTTTTTTTTTCCGATTTGTTTTTAATAGTTTTTAGATTTTCTTTTGGGGGACACTATGGGGGGGGGGGGAGGGGCAGACATAGAGGGCCTGGAAAATGAGTGGGATTGGGGTACATGATAAGAATTTCCTAAAGAACTAATAAAAAATGTTTTAAAAAATCTCTGTAACAAATTCATTCTCAGAAAACAGAATTTAAATGTATTTTGATGTGTTCATTCCATTTGATTGAATAATGAAAATATAAGTGTAAATGCATTTATCTTTACACATTCCAATTACTTTTATTCTTATCTGTGGTAGTTTTAAATAAAATAGCCCCCAAAGGGATTGGCATTATTTAGGAGGTGTAGCCTTGTTGGAAAAAGTGTGGGGACAGAAGGTTTCTTTTGCTCTAGCTTTGCTCAGAGTCTCAGTCTACTCTCTGTTGCCTACATCAACATGTAGCAGTTACCTCTCCAGCACCATGTCTGCCTGCACACTGCCATGTCCCACTACGATGATAATGGACTGAACCTCTCAACAGTAAGTTAGTCACCACAATTAAATGTTTTCTTTATAAGAGTTGCCATGGTCATGGTGTCTCTTTGAAGCAATAGAAATCCTAAGACACCATCTTTAATGATTATTCATTAAGTAAAAAAGATTGTAGAACAGAATGAGAAGGTATGAGGAAGTTAAATATTATAACTGTCACATATATAGAAATTCTGAATTTAAAAATGTCACATACTTAAAATCAACTAAACTGGTAGAAATACTTAAAACAAAAGCATGCGAAAAAAATCACTACATGATTGTTTATTTAAAATATGACTCTGGATGTAAATACATATGGGCTTACATAATATGTGGTTATTCATATAAACCCTCAATTAGAATGCTCAATAGTTCATACCCAAAGCCTTTTGTTTTTAATAAACACGATAAATTTTCTTTCTTAAGGAAAGTGTTTAAAGCCTTTTGAATCTTGATTTGTGAAGAGATTACTAAAAAATAACTTAGCTACATCAAAGAATAATATTATTTGCAATATTGTCACAGATTTCTCCATGGCAAAATAGTCATATATTGTTATTGCACAATTTATAGGTACAGGTTACTATGTGCATATATAAACTTTCTATAATGACAGTGTTTTTACTGTAACTTGTCACTATATTTAAAATTATGAAATACAATTTACAAAACCTTTAACAATATACTTTTATAATAAAAGTATCCTGAGGATATTACAAAATTCATTTACCAGCCCTTCATTTCTTTGCTTTGACTCTTTAACTCCTAATAGTTTTCCGTATTTCCTTACATAAAAATGGTCATTTACAGTTCTAACTAAAAATAAATTTAAGCTAAGTAATATGTAACTGTCCCTTAAACACTTATCCCCATCTACTGCCAGTCTCATTGGCTAGGAATCAAGTATTTATCAAGTTTTTTTACATTTCTGAATCAGAAAAGGTATAGCATGAAACAAACAGAAATAGGGCTAGTATATTTAAGTTAGAAGCATTGTAAATTTTAAATATTTTGGATAAATTTTATAATAAATAATATATTTTGGCAAAAATAATAAAATATAAGGTTTATTTCCTATCAATGGTAGATATGGAGGGCACTGTACATTTGTAAATACTACCTATTTAATTTGACTCTTTTCACAATGTTTCTAAAAACACTGCTCTAACATTTTCAGAATTTTGAGACTAAATTCATCTAAAAAACATAAAACTAAAACAGAATTTAAGTAAAATGACTGATCATCAAAAACTGGTGACAAATTCATAAATGTAAATGCTTATGTGCCACATAACATCTTTATTGCCTACTGAGACTTATTTGATTTAATATCTTTAAAATAGTAATCTTTGAATTCTTCCTAAAAGTGACTTGAAAATTAAAGTGATAATTTTAAAAATTATATTAAAAAACAGTTGCAAGTGAAGTTTTATACTTGTGGCAGTAGGTGTTATGGCACAAAACACATAAAAGACTTGGAGTTTCTTTTTGTATATATACAATATCAAATAAGATGTGTAATATATATATACATATGCACATATATATACATACACATAAATACATTTACATACACACATCTGGGCTATAGAAGGGAAAGAGCAAAACCCTAATGAACTCCTTGGTTCTTTTATATGGAAGTTCCAATAGTAGTTTTAATGGAGATGTCTTATCTTACCTATACATAAACTTCTCATTATTAACAGAAAAAAAATTATGATGTCTGTGTAACAAAGTAGTGAGTGTGGTCAATAAAATGATGAGTATTTTCTCGGCACCTGTCTTAAAGGGTTTTACTGTCAATAATATTCATGCACTGGGGTCTGCAGAAGAGTTTGTAACAATGAGAAAACAAAGTTCCTTTAATGTGATGACATTTTACTAAAATATACTATAAATAAGTATGAATACAGCATTACTTATACATTCTATGTTAGGTAATAGGATCTAACTTTGAATGACCGGTTAACTTTTAAGGCATCAGTGCATTAAGGGCAAAGCTCCATAAAATAAATATGACAACAAGAATGCATTAGCTTACCCTTGGTACAGGGGATAAAAGCATTAGCTTACCCTTAGTACAGGGGATTACTGCATACTGTATCTGTTGGCCACTTCCACAAAGCAGGTAATAAATCACACACCCTCTTGTGAAAATGTTACAGCATCAATTTTACATCATTTTTTAACACCTCGTTTAAAGGGCTAAACTGATCCGGCAGTATCCTCATTTTCATTGTTCCATCAGCTCCACAAGAGAAAATGTGATTTGCTGGTCCTGTCTCAACTTGCATGACTCCAGTTCCAATATTTCTAAAAATAGACTGTCGAGCATGTTCACTGATAAAAGTATGGAGAAGACTAAAGGTAGAAAGACTCCAAATCTGAAAGATATGAAGGACAAATGAAAACTGGGGCTGGTGATTAACTTAGGAATCCAGAAGAAAATATAAACCTGCCTTCCTGTGCAGGTAAGATATTTTTACAAGGATGGAGAGTATCTGTATAAGCCATGATATGATCACAGTCTCCTGATTCTCTATAGGCTGTAGCCATTTATCAGCTGCTTTATTATTACTCAAAGTCCTTCCATCAAGAGTACAAATTATTAACAATGCATTGAAGATAAGACAACCTGGGTACAAACAACAAAAACTTGCATCAGTAACTACAATAAAGGTTTTGCTGTGTAGCCACCATGTGTTTTTACTTCCTTATAATAATGAATACTCAGAGTATTCAGGAAACATGCAAGGATGAAAGTTAACTGACATCTAGAGGCTCTCTACCCTGGTAAAGCTTAGACAAAGTCAATTACTAAAATTCTACAATACTAATTTCTAAAAGTTTCTATTATAAGCCCTCATCAGGACAAATTGTCCATTTTTAAATCAAATCCCAAATGTCTTCTCTCATTACAGGCCTGTATGGAAAGGCCTTCAGGATATATATATTTTTTCCCCAGTTTGGAGAAATGAATTTACTTTCTGATTTTTTGATACTACTTAGGGGAAATAGCTTTTTCTAAAAACAAAACAAAACAAAACAAAAAAAAAACAAAAACAGAAAACCTCATCAATCCACACTATTTTTTATATGAATCTGTTAAATTATGCCTTTTAAACATATTATACCTTTAATATTTAATGTGTATGGGTGACTTATTACACACATGTATGTGAATCGAATGTGTGCTTGATGCCTGAGGAGGCCAGAAGTTACAAGTGGTTGAGAGCTACATGTGCATGCTGAGAATCATACCTGAATTCCGTCAGAGTAGCTTGTGCTTTAAACTACTGAGCAATCTCTCCAGCCCCAAACTATATAATTTCAAATATTTTAAAAATATAAACTCCAGAACCATTGTAGAATCTAAATAGCTGATCTAAATCAAAGTTTGTCCTACTCCAAACTAAAGTCTGTTTGAGGTACACTATGCAGACACAGGGAAAAAAGATAATGCAATCACATAGCTGTGTTACAGTAAGACCACTACATTAGCTGGGACCAACATGGCCAACCCAGATGACAGCTAATTGTCCCTCTGCTTTGCTACAATGAGATTTCCAGATTAACACTGGGCAAATGGCCGGCTTCCATCTTGTATCTGATGTTACAACACCCCCCCCCCAAAAAAAAAAAAAAAAAAACCTCATTAAGTACAGAAAAAGGGGAGAAAACCTTATTCCAGGAAATTCCAGACTCATTCCTGGATTTCCCTGTAGACCTTCACTTCATGAGCAATCCTTTCCTCCATTAATGTTTGCTCATTATATGAATTATCCAAAATCCTAGCCATTTGACACTATTTCTTGAGTGTGTACTTCTACTTTGCTATTAACTTCTTCTCAGTTCTGTGCTTTGTCTTCTTTCTAATTCTTTCTCTGAGGGTTCTAAGAATCTGGAAGCAACAGGTGGAGGTCCAAATTTGCTCCTTGTCAAATCCTGACAACCTTTACCAGCAGCCACAAGTTGAAATAAAAGAGTGGCTTTGAATTCTGCTGGGATATATTATTTTTACAAGAGTACTTTAGGGCTGAGGAGATGACTCACTGGTTAAGAGCACTGGCTGCTCCTCCAGAGAACATGGGTTTCATTTCCAGCACCCACTTGAAGGTTCAGAACAAGCTGTAACTCTAGTTCCAGGGGACTCAAAACTCTCTTAAGAACTCTGCCAACAACAAGCAAGTATGTGCTGACAAAACATCTATTAAACATAAATAACAACAACAACATTTCTAAATTCTAGAGTTCTGTTTGATTTTCTGGGGGGTAGAAGTTAGGGGGAGGAAAACAACTTATTAATTCTAAGAGAGAAGTTCATCTTACTTAGTACTAAATACGCTCACACTCACATAATGGACTCTAAGAATCAGGTCCTTCAAATCTAGATTTGCTGGCCATTAAACATCCTGAAGAACAATTGAAACTGGCTTATCCATTTGTAATGGGCCCACAGAATCTTCCCTCAAAATCAACAGGTATTAGAATTAGTTTTGACTCTCTGCTCTTAGTTATGTATTTACTAAATTAAATTTTTCCTTAACATAGAACTTCACAGCTAAGTATTTTTGGGGTGGAATCTTACAATATACACTTCAATAAGTTGTTTAATATTTTTTAATAATCTTAATGCTTTAAACAACTTTAAAATTTAAGCACAATAGAGTTTGATAATCTATGTATGAGGCTTAATTGGGTACATTCTTAAACCAGAATTAAAGAATCTGAATTGTTGAGCATTATTATTATATGTGAAAAAAGAGGAGCAACGTGGGTTTACTCAGTTAAGCCAGAAATTTAATTTAGTAAATACATAACTAAGAGCAGAGAGTCAAAACTAATTCTAATACCTGAAATATACTTAGATCCATAGAAAATCTGTCTTTTTGCATTAATTAAGCATATTTTAAAACCAGTGAAAAGTAAAATTTCAAGTTAAAAATAATTCCATCTATCAAAGGATTTATTAAATAGTAATTAGCATTGTTAACTACAACAGAATGAATAAGACTATTATTAAGTAGATTAGTACTATAAGCATGATACAATGGCATCAACTTTGTTTACCTTTATATTGCCTTCAGCAGATCCTGTAACAAAGTACTCTTCAGTTGGATCAATAGCAATGGCTTTAACAGGGGAATCATGGCTCTGAAAAAGTTGCCTCTGTTGCCGTTGTCGAAGGTCAAATATACATGTGAAACCTTTTCTGCCACCTGATATTAGTAGTTGATGTTTGGGAGCATATGCTAAAACTGTGGCTCCACTATCATGGCAGGTAAAAGCTGAAGGAAAAAAAAAAAAAGTTAAACCACTTAGTAATAAAAGATCATCTTGTATAAGGTGGTCAAAATAGAATAAATAGGCTTTCCTGACTAAGCCAATTTAAAAACCAAATGCAATATAAGTAATGGTTTGAGATACTGGGCATGAGACAATGGAGAATGATCCTGTGGAGAGGAAATATGGGTAGCCATAATATTGTTCCAGCAAACTGCCTACAGTTTTGTGGTCATAACATAAGGAAAGGAAACTCAAGTTGAACTGGACTCAATAGTAGCAAATGCTTGAATAGTAAATATTACACCAGTATAACAATATGTAAATAAACAATTATTATAAAGGTGCTAAGAACATTCCTGTGCAAGCCTTTTTGTAGCTTTCATATACAGAAAAGAGTATATTCTAGGTTCATGTTAATTTTTTCCAAAATGGTTGTAGCATTTTTATACTTCTGTCAGCAGTTGCAGTTTCTGTACACCCTAATCAACACTTTGAGTCTTTAATTTTGGCCATGTTGGTATAAATGATATCTTGAAGCACACTGAATGTGCATTTTCTTGATTAATTTATCTAGATCATCTTTTTATATGCTTACTTGCTATTCAAACAGTGAGAGGGAGATTGTTTAGAAGTCCTAGGAAACATCACTTTATTTATTATTTTTTCTTTTTTTCTTTTTTTTCAAGACAGGGTTTCTCTGTGTAGCTTTGGAGCCTGTCCTGGATCTTGTCTGTAGACCAGGCTGGGCCTCAAACTCACAGAAATCCTCCTGCCTCTGCCTCCCGAGTGCTGGGATTAAAGGCATGCATCAACAATGCCCATCTTATCACTTTATTCTTAAAACAACGTTCAAACATAATTTAAAAGATTCACCATCAGACCCAAGCCACGTAGATTTTCCTCCTGTTTTCTTCTAGAAAATTACACTTTACATGAAGCATTACAACCCATTTTGAGTTAAATTTTGTAAAAAGTGAAGTCAGTGTCGAAGATATTTTCAGATGTTGTTCTATGTCACTATTCAATTGTTTTAGAACTTTATTGAAAAAAATCTTTTTCTCCACTGAATTCTTTTGTGCATCTATTTGTTAAAGTCTATGATATATAAAGGAGCTTATAATGAAGCTATCTAGTCTTTCCAATGTTCTATGTAACTTTTAAAAAAGCCACTGTCATGATTATTGCAGCTTTACATTACTTTTTGATTAGGCAGTGAGTCCTCTGAATTTGTTTTTTTTTTTCCCCCAGTATTTTGTTGGTTACATGCTATATTCACCTAAACTTTAGGATCTGTTTATTTATATGTATAGAACAGTCTGCTAGATCCTGACAGTGATGCCATACACCTTTAATCCTAGTACTTGGATTAAAGTACTTGGATGACAGAGGCAGGCAGATCTCTGTGAGTTCGAGGCCAGCCTGGTCCACAGAGAAAGTTCAGGACAGTCAGGACTGTTTCACAGAGAAGCCCTGTTTCGAAAAACAAAAACAAAACAAAATAAAAAACAAACAAAAAAAGAGTTTGCTTGTATTTTATTAGAACTGAGGAACTGACATTTTAAACAAAATTAAGTTTTCAAAGCTCTAAACTTGGGTCTTTTCTACATTAATTTAGATCTTCTTTGACTTTTTAAATTATTTTTGTCCCTTTCTATATATATATATACCTTGTGTGTATTTTGTTTGACAAGTGCCTCAGTAATTATTTCAGGTGTAAATGATCTTTTAAATTCTAAATGATAGATATTCATTGTTGGTGCAGAGGAAAGCAACTGGTTTTAGTTACTGACTTGACACCTTGTTGTATTGACCATAGTAGTGCTAGGAGCTGAGGTTCACATCTAGGAGTGTGTATATGCTAGATAATTACTCTCCAAATAAGCTACATCCACAGTCCAAGATGTGAATTTTTTTACTTCTACAGTTGATAAAATGTCTTCAAAACTTACCATGGAGCCGGGTGATGGTAGTGTACACCTTTAATTCCAGCACTAGGGAGGCAGAGACAGGCGGACCTCTGTAAGTTTGAGGCCAGTTTGGTCTACCGAGTGAGTTCCAGGACAGCCTCCAAAGCTATAGAGGAACCCTGTCTCGGAAAAACCCAAAACCCCCAAAAAACAAAAACCAAAAAATATCCAAACACTTACCATGGACTAAACTATTGGTAGGTGCTACTAGAGTATCCCATAGACATATGTTTCTGGGGAAAAAAAAAAGGATTTCTTTTTAACTAACACAAAAATTAATAGAGAAAAAAAGCCAAATATTAAACATAACATTTGAACTTTGCTCAAAAGAAGGTTTTCATATTAACTTACAAAATTGATTTAAGTTTTGATTAACATGTACTTATAAATAAAATTAACCTGAAGGCTGAGTAAAGAAATTATTTATGTGTTTACTGATTTTCTAATCTATCTGCTAACTAATACACACAAGTCATAGAAAATCCCATTGAGCATATACATACATGAAATCTACTGAACAGGGGATAGGGTCTACAGCCCTGAAAGCTAGTTCCCAGGGCAGTGTGAAGCTTACAGATGAGTTTCAGAAACTCAGCAAGCTCAGTGTGTCTGTACCGTGAGTCTGGATGCTCTGCATGAGTATATGGAGGAAGACGACAGATGTTCTTGTAAACTAGAAAGTTGTTCTAAGTCTTCTATTTTCTTGTCGTAAAAAATGCTAATACCTACCTGGTGAGGCCATGGTGAAGACTAACTAAATAATATGGGCAATAAATAACAGTACCTTTTCCACCTTCAAGTTTTGTGAATAAAGAAATGTTCATTTCATCAAAAACCAAATTCTTTTAAAGACTCACTATGAAAACATTACAAATAAGAATGGATTTTGTTTAAATGGTATTAGAATTTCCCAAGCTTTATGCCACTGAGAAAGTTTTAAATAAGAAACAAATCCTTTGTTTTGAGCCATAATATGAGCAAAGGGGTCAAGACCATGATGGGGAAACCCACAGAAACAACTAGACCCCCTGAATGCAGGTGACAGAGGGTGGATTGGGCAGGTTATGAGGCCACTGACAGTGGGTCCAGGAGCTATCTATTCATCCCTACTACATGAACTGGCTTTTTGGAACCAATTTTCTATGAAAGAGATACCTTGCTCAGCCTAGACACCTTGGGGAGGGCCTTGGTCAGGCCTCATTGTGGTTATGAGATAGAATTCTTGATTCCTCATGGAGGAGCTTCTTGACTCCCTTTCTGAGGAGCAGATGGGGAGTGGGGGTTAGGGGAAGGTGGAGGGAGCAGAATGAGGGGAGGGAGAACTGGGATTTATATGTAAAATTAAAAAATAAAATAAAAAAACCCAAATCCTTATGATAAAAATCCTAAGGCATAATTACTGACAAAGAATTATACAACAAAACAATTTAGTTATCCACATACAACACTTCTATTTCAGCTACATCTCTCATCTATTCTGTTCAGCTACATCTCTTACCTATTGTCAGTTGAAAGACCAGCTGTAGCTATCAGAGAGGAAGAACTAACGAAGACAAAATCATTGGCTGTCTTGTTATGACACTGCCAAGCCTGGAATGGTTATAAACAATAAATGTTATTGTTGCTAGTAAAATTTCCATGACCAAGCAGATGTATAACTAAAATGTGATCATGTACTTTATATCTTTTAAAAATAATTTTTATTTTTTTCAATCTTCTGAACATTAAAAAGTTTGGAGAATACAAGGAACATTCATGGTGATTCACTCCCCCTTTCTGTAAAAAATACAAACAGTTCCTGAACTATCTTTTTTACTTTTTTCAACCAACACCTTAAGAAGAAAACATACAAAGTTTAAACTTCAAATAGTTATGGAGGTCTAGCTAGTGGGGAAACAAAACAAAACAAAACAAAAACAAAACAAAAAAAAAAAAGAATAACCAACAAGACTGTCTTACAAGAAGACAGAAACCAGGATTTAAGATTATCTTTGATATAAATATCTTTGTTAAATTGACATTATGAATTTTTCAGAACCAATAAAACTTTTAAATAATTGTTCAAAATAATAAAAAGTTACTGTCACAAAATTAGAAAGCTCACAATACTTCTGAATATTCAATCAAACTTATTATGGTTATTTCACCAATTGAAAAAGGTTGTCTCTCCAGAACATCAACTTACACAGTTCACACTGTAGCCTCATAAAACTATGAGGAAAAGAATAGACTAAGTCCTTTTCAAGGGGTCCTGGCAATGCTCCCTTGCATTTATTTAGATCAATACTGAACTCTAACATTTCACCTCAGATGAATTACCAGAATCATAATCTATAATCTTTTTTTTTTTTTTTTACTATATACTGTTTTGTTTAATTCTGTAAAGGGATTCAATGAAGAACAGAATAAACATAACATTTTTATTCTCTGAAGGCAAATATTTATGAAGTCTGCACAGTCTTAAACAGAGATGAAAACAACAGGTCAGCAACAGGATGCCTTTTTCTAATTTGATCATTAATTAGAGTGTACAGGAAAACAACTTGATATGCCATTGGTCTGCTAGTCATCTTAATTAGCTTGGTGAAGTTGGATAAGCTCCAGTACTTTACATGGGTCTCTGAAGATACAGGCTGTGCATGTTAACTTTCTAAACTTTACTCAGTAATTTTCACATAGGAGACTATAGTCATGATTGAGTGTATAACACTAGACAAATCTTATTTATTAATATTACTTGCTCAAATATAGCTTTGATCTTTAAACATAAAATTCATGTTTTATATACATGTAGGCATTTTTAACTTACCAGATATGGCTTAGGTATGCTCCCAGTAACTGGACAACATTTCCAGTTTGTTTGGTACAAACTTAAATATCCATCAGCATCAACAATTCCAAACTTTAAAAAAAAATTTAAATGATGAATGTAAATAAAAAGCACACATTTATCCTTATACCCACTGAGACACATTATCTCAATATTTAGCATGTGACTGACAGACTGTTACCTTTTCATTTCATATAAGCTTCAATCTAGTTTTGAACTATATTTATTTATTCTTTTTGTTTTGGTTTTTTGAGACAGGGTTTCTCTGTGGCTTTGGAGACTGTCCTGGAACTAGCTCTTGTAGACCAGGCTGGTCTTGAACTCACAGAGATCCACCTGCCTCTGCCTCCTGAGTGCTGGGATTAAAGCGTGGGCCACCACCAACCGGCTCTCAAACTATGTTTAGCTATCACTTTAAGAAAACTTCTAGTGTAGAAAAGAAGCAAACATCAGATACTTGGTTAATTAAAGTAACTTGCACCATTGTCTGTATAGTCCTTATAACTACTCCAAAAATGAACACTGAATTAATTATTAAGCCATACAAAACTTTATGTAAGTAAAACTTTATATAAGTAAGTGTTCATTTAAAAACACAAAATAAGGTCTTACAAAACATGCAATATGGAAAATACATAAATAAGATGACTTGGCATAGTCCTACTCATCTGTGATTCAAGCATTTAGAAGGCTGAGGAAGGAGAATTGCTCTGAGTTCTGGGACAGCCTGATCCATGCAAGTATCATGCTACACTTGCACTGATTCTCTGTCAGAAAACTCCCAAAAACAAACAAACAAAAAAAGGAAACCCGTTAAGCACAAAGTAAAAATACACAAATAATAGAAAGTAAAATAAGAATTAATGATGAAAGTCAAAGAATTCTTTTGCTGAATCTCAAGATAATTTAATTAGGAAGACACTGAATTAAGTATAGGAGTATGTGGTATGTATCTAACAGGATAAAATAGCCAACTTTTTTTTTAACATTACAAAAATACTACATGCAAGCTAGCCATTGGGGCTCACACCTGTAATCCCAAGCACTTAGGAGGCTAAAGCAGAAAGAAAGATTGCCATGAGTTTAAAGCCAATGTAATCCACAGAATGAGACCCTGTCTCAAAACAAAACCAAAAAGTACATGTTTATTTATAAAGTATATAAAAATCCTGGCTATTTTAGAACCCTGTCTTTTCCTACCTCTAGATCAGACACCTATTATAAGAATCTGACATTACTTGCTGTAAGATTTCTTTCTATGAATATCAAATACTCATATAGGATTTTTACAGTAAAGTGGATAATATACAAATCCTAATTTACATTTTGAGTTTAACTACTCATTGTCAGGCACATATCATTATTGTGCTCTGTGTATTACAGTGTATAGTTGTCTTTTTGTTTGTTTGTTTGTTTGTTTGATTTTTCTAAACAGGGTTTCTCTATGTAGCTCTGGCTGTCCAAGAACTTACTTTGTAGACCAGGCTGGCCTCAAACTCAGAGACCCACCTGCCTCTGCCTCCCAAGTGCTGGGATTAAAGGCATAGGCCACCATTGCTCAGCCCTAAACTTTCTTTTATACAGACAGTTTTTTTTTTTAAACTTATTCTATTAAAAAGGTGCTGTTTTGAACAATCATATAAATATATCCCTCTACATAACTATAGACTAGAAATTTAAAACTGGGAACACTTTGCTTTGCATAAATGAAAACTGAAAGATGAAGGCTGGCAAGTTGGACGATTCAGTTAGCTGTCTGGGATTCACATAGTAGTAGGAGGGAATTGACCCCTGTAAGTTATCCTTAGACCTCCACATATGAGTCATGGTATATGCTTGGCTTCTTCCCACAAAATAAAGTTCAAAAAATATAAAAAAGTTGAAAGATGAAGGTAAAATCAAATTTTAAGCAAAATAATTTTGATTCAACTACTCATTTATTCTTACACATTAGTAAATAAGTACCATCAAAATGAAAATACTTACCCAGTTTTAATTTATATTAAACTAATATAAATTAATATAATCTCAATTTTCAGTGATGAACATATAGAGATTTTGGTAAAATTCACATTGCTTATTTGCTTCTCCAATGCTTTCTGAGAATTCTGATAGAGCTATTATTAGGTATATTAGCCTACTGCTTTTATATTTGTTATAAATACTTTCCCAACTATCTAACCCTCTTTTCTAGTTTATGTTTTCTGGAGTAGAACTA